CATGTCTCTGATAAGGAGGTTTCTTCCGCCCCCGATTCCCTCTCTGTTGCTGCCCTTCCTGAGGTGCACTCCCTGATTTCTGCCCCCCCTCCTCCAACTGTCCTTGCCTGCCCCTCTCAGTTGTCTCCTCCTCCTCCTCCTCCGGACCCCGTCAGTCCGCCTCTGGTCTGTTCTCTCGCTCCCTTCCCTCTCTCCTTACTAAGTTTACCCATGCCCCCTAACCCTGATTTTGCCGACCCTGCTCCTGATCCAGACCCTGATCCTGAGATTCTTTTATAAACTGTGTTCCTCTTTACCTTTATTTCTTTCTTGTTCTCTGTTACTGTCCTTTCTCTTTGATAATGTCTATTCTTCAGTGGAATATTCGTGGATTTATGCCAACTTCCATGAACTCCAACTTCTAATTACACAGTTTACACCATTTTGTGTTTGTCTCCAGGAACCAATGCTTGGTGCTCGTCCTGGTCACTTTCGTAGTTATTCCTTTCTTTCTTCCCCCCCCCCCCAAGCTCTTGCTGGGGCCCATAACTCTACTGCTCTCTTAATTCGTTCTGATATTCCCTTTGTCCCCCCTACTTCTTCCGTCCCCTATCCATTGTTTTGGTGCCCGTGTTTTTGTGGGTAAATGGTATACAGTCTGTTCCATTTATCTCCCTCCAAATGTCCCTCTTTTCCTTCCTGATCTTAAGCTCCTCCTGGACTCCTTGCCAGAGCCGGTGCTCCTTTTGGGTGATTTCAACTGTCAACATTCCCTCTGGGGTGATGTTCTGACAAACACCCGAGGCCGTCTTCTCGAACCGTTCGTCCTCGCTTCTTCTCTATTTCTTCTAAATTCTGGTGAGCCCACTCATGTGGACTCTCAAACTCGCACCCTTTCCTGTCTTGATCATTCTCTCTGCTCATCGTCCCTTTACTTGGATTTCACGTGGCAGGTTCTTGATGACCTCCATAACAGTGATCATTTCCCAATCCTCGTTTCCTTTTTCTCTTTCCACCCTCCCCTTTCCTTCCCTAGGTGGCAGTTTGCCAAGGCTGACTGGTGCCTATTCACCCTCCGTGCTACTCTCTCTGACCTCTGACCTCTCCTCTCTGCCTCTTCCTCGCGCCCTCGTCCTTTTTTATGACACTGTCTTCAACGCTGCCTTCAGCTCTATCCCTCGCTCTTCCTCCCGGGGCACACGGAAGTGTGTTGCCTGGTGGAATGCGGACTGTGCTCGGGCTGCCCGCTGTAAGTATGCAGCCTGGAAAAAACACCGCCCCCGGCAGACGGCTGATTCTTTTATTCTGTTTCGGAAGGCAAATGCGGTGGCCCGTAGGACCCTCCGTACTGCTAAACATGAGAGTTGGAAATCTTATGTTTCCACCATTACGTCTGATACTCCTCTACCGCAGATCTGGAAGAAGATCCGCAAGATTGCGGGTAAGTTCGTTCCAGATGTCTCGCCGGTTCTCCACCTCCGTGGGACTCTTGTGGCGAATCCAGTGAAGGTCACAGCTGAACTGGGTTCCCACTTTTCTTCTGTTAGCTCTGGTTCTCATCTTCCTCAATCCTTCCTTCTTCGTAAGCCTGTTCTTGAATCTTATCCTTTAGATTTCCACACTCATCTCCGCCTTCCCTATAACAATCCTTTCTCTCTTTCTGAACTTCAGTCTGCCCTGGCCCTCTGCGGATCTACAGCAGCGGGCTCGGATGACGTTCATTATGAGATGCTTCGCCATCTCCCTCCGTGCACGTTTCAGTATTTACTGAATCTGTATAACCAGGACTGGGAGTCGTCATCCGTCCCTGAGGGCTGGCTCGATGCCGTTGTACTCCCTATTCGGACACCAGGGTCTCTCGGTACGTCTCCTAAGGATTTCCACCCTATTGCTCTCACGAGTTGTGTTTGCAAGCTGTTTGAGAGTATGGTAAATGTCCGTCTGATGTGGTTCTTGGAACACCATCACCACCTCTCTCCTTCTCAATTTGGTTTTCGCAAGTGCAGCAGCACGTCTGATGTCCTGGTGATCTTGGAGGTCTATATTCGTTCTGCTTTTGCTGCGAAGACCTCCGTTGTTGCTGTCCTTTTTGACCTGGAAAAAGCTTATGACACGACCTTGAGATACCATATCCTGTCCCAATTTCGTTCTTTTGGCCTTCGTGGTAATCTCCTTCTCTTCCTTCAAAGCTTTCTCTCTCGTCGTACCTTTCGAGACAGGCTTGGTGCCACTCTCTCTGCCTCTTTTCGGCAGTATGAAGGTGTGCTCCAAGGTAGTATTCTGAGTACTACTCTTTTTCGGGTTGCCCTCAATGGTCTCCTTTCCTCCCTTCCTTCTGGCATCTTCTCCGCTCTTTATATTGATGATCTTACTCTTTGCTGTCGAGGTGATGATTTGGCTCTCCTTCAACGGCGGCTTCAACTTGCGATTGATGCCGTGTCATCTTGGGCCACCAATCATGGCTTCAAGTTCTCTACTATTTTAAGACTTGTGCATGACTTTTACTCGGAAGTGGGTCGTTCTTCGTCCCTCTTTATCACTTTATGGTCATCCCCTTGAGTACAAAGATTCCACGAAGCTTTTGGGGTTATTCTTTGACACTCGTTTGTCTTGGTCGCCCCATGTCTCTTACCTCCGTGTTGAATGTTCTAAGGCCCTTAACCTACTTAAGGTTTTGTCCCATACTTCTTGGGGAGCGGATAGGCGCACGCTCCTCTATTTGCATTCCTCTCTCGTCTTGTCTAAACTCGATTATGGTTGCCCTGCCTACTCTTCTGCTTCTCCTTCTACTCGTCACCATCTTGATCCTTTGCACCATACTGGGTTGCGCCTCAGTTCTGGTGTTTTTCGTTCAACTCCTGCCCTCAGCTTGTACGCTGACTCTGGCTTTCTGTCTCTCCAGGATCGCCGTGTTCGCTACAGTCTTCGCTATCTTGCGCGATCCTTACAGCATCCTCACTCTCGCCTCTATCGTGCTTTGACTTTTACCCCTCCTGTAGTTCCTATTCCTCTTCACCACCTTCCTCTTTCTGTCCGTTTGTCTCGCTTACAAGATTCTCTTTCGGTTCGTATTACTAATGTTTCTCCTCGTATTGTTCCCTCCTTGCCCCCGTGGAGGGTCCCCCTTCCCAAATTTTGTACTTCTCTGACCCGCATCACTAAAGCTTTTACCCCTCCTACAGTTCTGAAACGCCTCTTCCTTGAGCACTTTTCTTCTCACTCCCACTCCGTTCCCATCTTCACCGACGGGTGAAAGTCTGCTGACGGTGTGGGCTACTCTGTTGTTTTTCCTGACCACACTTATATGTGTTGCCTTCCTCCGGAGGCTAGCATCTTCACAGCAGAACTCTATGCTATTCTCTATGCTCTTCGTCTCCTGCTTTCCCGGGGGCAATCCTCCTTCGTGGTAGTAGTTGACTCTCATAGTGCCCTCATGGCTTTAGGGTCCTTTAATCCAGTCCACCCTGTGGTCATCGAGATTCAACATTGGCTGTTTCTTATCTCCAGTAAATTTAAGTCGGATGCGTTTTGCTGGGTTCCCAGCCATGTTGGTGTCTCTTTAAATGAGCGTGCGGATGCCGCCGCTAAGGACGCTATCCACACTTGTCCCATCTCCCATAAAGGTGTTCCTTATTCCGACTTTTACCCAGTTATTCATGCCTCCATCTTTGCCCGATGGCAGAGTTGTTGGTCTTCTGTTATTGGTAACAAATTGCGTACTCTTAAGAGTCGTGTGTCCCAGTGGCCTTCCTCCTGCCACCGTAACCGGCGGTGGGAAACGGCTCTGGCTAGGTTATGTATTGGCCATACCCATTTAACTCACGGTCACTTAATGGAGCGCCGCCCTGCTCCTTAGTGTCCAAATTGCATTGTCCCTCTTACGGTCGTACATATCCTTGTTGAATGTCCTGACTTCCAGGACGAGCGTGTGTCTTGTTTTCCGACCGTCCCCTGCGGTCGCTTGTCCCTCAATAGAGTTCTTGGTGATTCGGATATTTTTGATATCGTTCGCCTTATGCGTTTTTGTTTTCGTATTGGCATCCTTGGTGATATTTAGCGCCCTCTGATTATCCCGCACATTTGATGGTGCTACATAGCCTTCCCGGTTTGGTGCCTTCTATTGATAATTACTTACTTACTTGGCTTATTAGGCAAATCGGGCCTTGCATAGTAGGCCAAGTACAACGTTCTAGCTACTAGGTACAACACACACACACACACACACACACACACACACACACACACACACACATATATATATATATATATATATATATATATATATATATATATATATATATATATATATATTTATATACGACATATATATATGTCGTATATATATATATATATATATACGACATATATATATGTCGTACGACATATATATATGTCGTACCTAGTAGCCAGAACGCACTTCTCAGCCTACTATGCAAGGCCCGATTTGCCTAATAAGCCAAGTTTTCCTGAATTAATTTATTTTCTCTAATTTTTTTCTTATGAAATGATAAAGCTACCCATTTCATTATGTATGAGGTCAATTTTTTTTTATTGGAGTTAAAATTAACGTAGATATATGACCGAACCTAACCAACCCTACCTAACCTAACCTAACCTATCTTTATAGGTTAGGTTAGGTTTGGTAGCCGAAAAAGTTAGGTTAGGTAAGTTTAGGTAGGTTAGGTAGTCGAAAAACAATTAATTATTGAAAACTTGGCTTATTAGGCAAATCGGTCCTTGCATAGTAGGCTGAGAAGTGCGTTCTGGCTACTAGGTACGACATATATATATATATATATATATATATATATATATATATATATATATATATATATATATATATATATATATATATATATATATATATATATATATATATATATATATATATATATATATATATATATATATATATATATATATATATATATATATATATATATGTGTGTGTGTGTGTATAAAATATATCTAAAATATATATAAAATATATGTATATACAAAGTATATATAGAGGTCCTTACTATACGGGAAATAATGGTCGTCATATTGTTGCACTTTCAGGGAGCAAGTGTCGCTCTTGACATAGTAATTGATGGTCTTGAGTGTGTACTGGATGTATTCTGAGGTGTGTGAAGACCACTTCACTCTGGCAATCCGACCACTGAACCTCCCGTACTTGGGCTCGCTCACCGTCAAGTTGACACTCTTGGCTGCACAAATGATAGTCGCAAATTAGTGACCAGTTTTGACCAGGTTTCAATGTCAAATATAATTAATTAATTATATTTGTTAATAATTTATACTAGAATTAAAAGTATAATTAATTAGTTTTCTTTATTTTCACAGTCATATATATATATATATATATATATATATATATATATATATATATATATATATATATATATATATATATATATATATATATATATATGTCGGAAAATCCGACACCATTTAATATATCATACAGATAAGAGCTGTGTTGTATAAACAAGTTAACCATAGAAAACGTAACTTGTAGTGGAATTACCATCTAAAGAAAACGGGATATCATCACCACATACCATTATAATTCACCAGCTATTCTGCTGGGAATTATTCTTAAATACATTAGTCTTTGGACTTTACCATCATAAAACATCTTATATAAATTAACTTAATTATCAATATTAAAGTAGAGTAAATGTGACCCTTCTATCACTTTCTGAAATCTGGACAAAGTAGGCCAGGCGTCAGAGTGGGGAAGGAGGGCAGCCATTGTTTATTGAGACCAGAGGCTCACACGGGAGCAAATTCGGCTCCTGTTAAATTTACTTGGACGTAGTGTTATGGAACCCAAAGGTGTACCATCTGTCAACACGCTGTCAACAAATCAAGTTAAGTGTTCTTTCCGAAACCCATTATTTATCATTAGTGGCCATTAATGTCATTATATAGGGTTAGCCGGTTAGAACGCGAAATCGCCTCAAACTAAAGGTAATTAAGCCAGGTCTTCATGTTCCATGTACTGTATAGTGTTTTCTCTGATATAGCTTGTCATATATAGGATTCTGGCTTCACAGCTAGCGCACTTTTGACAGGTCAAGACGAGGATGCAAGATTATGTGCACCAGTTACTGGGTGATAGAAGCTACCTCAAAGAGGATAATTTGGTGTCTACACTCTAGTTATAACTGGTGGACTAACCTGCTGTACTATAAGATAAGGAACCTCTTCAATGTATGTAGTTACTGTAGTTTGATTGGCTGCATATATATTAATATAATAACCCCCTAATGTGTAGAGGATCGATTTGTGAGATTATGAGATTATTGCAGAAATACAGTCCACTTATCATTATACAAATTGCTATCGAAGTATATAAATTAACGTAAATATAAATTCACATAAATTAAATAAATATAAATCTCACAGGTCGGTTCCCACATTATTTGGTCCTTCGAACCGGATGACGGATTATTTGATCCTTTGAACCCACATTTGGTCATCTTAGTACCGGATGAACCAGTTATCCAGTGGATTCATTAAATATACTAGTGCAGTGTTATTTAAACAAAGGCCAGCCAGTCAAAGACGGAAGCGTAGCCTCGAGGGAGCTCAGGAGCCTCCCTCAGCCGAGTTCAGCCTTAGTCAGCGGTTTCATGCACACCCACAGATTTGGTGGCGTGTTATTCTGTGAAATGACAGCGCTAATATAGAAACCAGCCAAATTAGTGACTGTGTCGCGAGATTGTTCACGGATTTCGTGGTGTTACATTTCGCGAGAGATTATCTACGAATTTTGTGGAGTTTATTTCGCGAGGTCACTAATAATATTTAATACTTCTAGATAATATTAGAAGTTTCATAGAGGCAATTAAGAGGCTATTATCAATAATTGTGTATATTATTTCTCCAAGATAGAGAATTATTTAATATATTGCACTAGTGATCATAGTATAATATTTACTAATTGCCAACCCACAACAGGGTAGGATATTAACCATTGACTAGTTGAACTATTATCGTTCACCCTAGTCCCATTATTACCATAGTCAGTTGTACTATATTGAACAACCTAACACCATTAATGAATGGTCCAGACCCTATTTTGGGTGTAATTTTTATCAACTCGAATTGAGTTGTATATATAATAATTTACTTATGATCATTACACCTTTGAGTGATTAATTAGTGTCTCTACCATCCTAGGGTGATATAGAAGAGCTAACCTAAAGGTACTTCCAGTGACACTGGTTTATCACTTAAATCATTAGTGTGTATGATTGTATATATATATAATGTGTATTAATTTTAAGTGCTAACCTCTAGTAGAGGTAGGATTATTGCCTAGTGAGTTCAGAATTTACCCTAGGCTACCATTAGAGTTTGTTCAGTATTATGAGCAGCCCAAGTACAAGTCCCACAAGGCTTCACCAACTAGCCAGTATGGATAATGCAGGGAGAATGAAAAGAACCCTTGCAGGTCTTAAAGGCCACTTAACAAGACAGATCAAGAAATGTGAAGATTTGTCACAACAATCAACAGTTGATTATGCTGACCTGGAAAGCTATTATCAAGCAGCTGCAGGTAAATTTGAGCAAATCAAATGCCAAATAGCAACATATGTGGCTGAACTTGCCAACACCAATTTATCAGAAACAGAAATAGACGACATTATGGTTGATCTTGCGAATTATGAAGATCAAACTCAGGCCACGTTACAGCCTTATGTCAAATTAATTGCCCAGAACAAGGCAACAGCAACAACAACAACAGTTGCATCTAATACGAGTCAAGCAGAAGCTCGACTCCCTCCAATTAATTTACCCACTTTCTCAGGAAAAGATGAGGAAGATTGGGACGAATTTTGGAACAAATTCGTTGACCTTGTAGACTCAAAACAATCTTTACCAAAGAGTAGTAAATTCTCTTATTTGCAAGGCCAATTATCAGGTGAGGCTAAAACAGTAGTATCCCATCTGAGATTAACTAATGATGGCTATGATCTGGCAGTAAAACTCCTCAAGGATAATTATGCTGATCCAGAAGTAAGAACATCACATTTAGTTCATGAGCTGTTGCATTTACCCCCACCGGAGGCTTCAGCTGATTCACTCCAAGTCTTCAAGCTGGAGGTAGAATCATTGATCAATGCCCTCAGCCTGACAGCAGTTACAAACGGGGCTGAGTGGGTCTTGAAAATAATTGTCCAGGAAAAAATACCTAGGGACATATTGAGACAAATGAGTGCTCATTACAATAAAAGTATCTTATCCATGAATGAAATATCTGAAGGTTTAAAGTCAGTAGTTCATCAATTACGAACACATGACAAATTAAAACCACCAAGTAAACCCTCAGAAACCAATAATAGTAAACCACAGAGTACCAAAGGTACTCCAAATCAATCTAGACAATATAATTCAACACCAAAGTGGAACATTAGCAGTGTGGGCGTATATGCAGTGGGACCCTCCAAGCCTATAGTTACTGTGTCACCCAAGAACGTGACACCAAAGGGTACTGGAAGCTATGGAACATGTTTGTTCTGCAAAGAGAAACATTCAATGTACCACTGCTCTAATTTTCCTGATAGTGACGCCCGTGTTGAGCGACTCAAAGATTTGCAACATTGCACGAGGTGCCTCAGGAAACATAACATCAAGGACTGTGATACCCAATTACACACCTGTAATAGGTGTAACAAAGGTCAGCACCATGCAGCATTGTGCAGAGACACCAAAACAACGTCTCCAAACCCCAAGGTGGAAGATAGCATTCCCACCACAGTACAGTACTGCAAGGTGCAACAAACAAAGAGTGTCCAATCGGCAAAGTCTAAAGGTAATACGACTTTGCCTACTGCCCAAATTACCATCCTGAATAAGAGGGCCAAGGTCCATACCCGTGGGTTGTTTGACCAAGGATCCCAGAGAACATATATCACTAAAAAGTTGGCAGATGAATTACAATTAAGGCCTGTAGCCCAGATGTCATTCAACATCTCAGGGTTTGTAACAGATGCAGGACCTCAAGTCTACCAGGTGGTACAACCATCAGTACGTTTAGGCAGGTACATCTGTCGAGTACAAGCCATTGTGGTGGACAAAATACCAGTAGACCTACAAGTTCAAGGTCTGAGAGCAACAGCCAAATTCCTGAGAAATAGAGGAATAAAATTGGCAGATAATATTAAGTCTGATCACCTCACCGACTTCGGTCTCCTTGTAGGGACAGACTATTGCCATCGATTCATCGGTAGCCCTACTAAATATCAGGGTATAACCATGTTAAACTCTGCAGGAGGTAAATTACTCTCAGGCCCAGTATCAAGCCTGAGGAGACCTATGCCTGCAGATAAACAATACCAGTAGAAACCTAAATTTGTCAGCTGATTATATTTCTCCAGTAGCATTATACTAAGGAGATGACAGCTGACTATAGTAACAGAGGTTGATGTTAGTATCATCATTTAAAGCTGAAGATGAGTTCATGAGGCCTCAGTGGCAAATCAGTGAACAGTAGCCTAAAACAGCTACAAGTCACTGCGACCAATGTCACTGAACCCACTGCAGTCTCAGAACCATACTTTACTTTAATGATGAGCTATTCAATCCTCTGAATCAATTAACTAAATTAAACCCTAATAAATTTGATGACTGATTTGATACATTTATTATTTAATCAAGATGTATTCCATGGGCCTCAGTGTTTATATATCAGTGACTAGTTACCTGAAGAAACTTCAAGTTATATCTGATGTCACTGATCTCATTGCAGTCCCTGAATCATACTTGACTGTAGTACTTGATCACATTCAGTCTTCTGGGTTAAATAATATGTAATAAGGCTTGAATATTAGCCTTTCAAGAGTTAACAGGGAAATGAAATCGCATTAGACTTCTAACCCCTGTAACTCTAGTACGGGACATCCGTCCTGTACGAACAGACGCACAAATGTGTGATTACTAACTACTAACATCAAATTAATCTAATAATTCGAAGGAGGAGTATCGGTGTTCGTCTGTTCTAATTAGGACTTCGACCCGTGAGCAGCCCCTGGGGAATTATGTCGGAAAATCCGACACCATTTAATATATCATACAGATAAGAGCTGTGTTGTATAAACAAGTTAACCATAGAAAACGTAACTTGTAGTGGAATTACCATCTTAAGAAAACGGGATATCATCACCACATACCATTATAATTCACCAGCTATTCTGCTGGGAATTATTCTTAAATACATTAGTCTTTGGACTTTACCATCATAAAACATCTTATATAAATTAACTTAATTATCAATATTAAAGTAGAGTAAATGTGACCCTTCTATCACTTTCTGAAATCTGGACAAAGTAGGCCAGGCGTCAGAGTGGGGAAGGAGGGCAGCCATTGTTTATTGAGACCAGAGGCTCACACGGGAGCAAATTCGGCTCCTGTTAAATTTACTTGGACGTAGTGTTATGGAACCCAAAGGTGTACCATCTGTCAACACGCTGTCAACAAATCAAGTTAAGTGTTCTTTCCGAAACCCATTATTTATCATTAGTGGCCATTAATGTCATTATATAGGGTTAGCCGGTTAGAACGCGAAATCGCCTCAAACTAAAGGTAATTAAGCCAGGTCTTCATGTTCCATGTACTGTATAGTGTTTTCTCTGATATAGCTTGTCATATATAGGATTCTGGCTTCACAGCTAGCGCACTTTTGACAGGTCAAGACGAGGATGCAAGATTATGTGCACCAGTTACTGGGTGATAGAAGCTACCTCAAAGAGGATAATTTGGTGTCTACACTCTAGTTATACCTGGTGGACTAACCTGCTGTACTATAAGATAAGGAACCTCTTCAATGTATGTAGTTACTGTAGTTTGATTGGCTGCATATATATTAATATAATAACCCCCCTAATGTGTAGAGGATCGATTTGTGAGATTATGAGATTATTGCAGAAATACAGTCCACTTATCATTATACAAATTGCTATCGAAGTATATAAATTAACGTAAATATAAATTCATATAAATTAAATAAATATAAATCTCACAGGTCGGTTCCCACAATATATATATTTATATATATATCTATATATCTATATATATATATATATATATATATATATATATATATATATATATATATATATATATATATATATATGTTATTGGTATCAAGTTTGTATTAGATGAGTCCCTTCGCCTCGGAGAAGAGTTTCGGCGGCACTCTGGGGAGCTTTGTAAGCCTACAACTTATACACTTGATTACAAACGCAAACAGTAAAGACTACAAACCGTGACTACAGCTTCCACTATATTACCACATGTGAAGGTCTGCTTATAATGGCTATAGTTTTATTGGTGTCAATATTCGGCAAAAAGTAACTATTCCAGAGGTAGTGAAATATGATGATTCTTTTAATTTCGAAAATCAATAAGTTGGTGTTGAAAGGTGAAGTGAAGAGGCACAATATACTTGGATATGACGGAGTGGTGTCCCTCCTGGGTGGCTTGGTCTTCCTAGGCTCTTCCCTCTCGATGTTGGTTTCAACAGTGGAGGTCACAGAGCCGGTGGTAGTTAAAGAGCCGTTGGTAGTTACATTGCCGGTGATAGTGTGAGCGCCGGTGGTAGTCTCAGAACCGATCCTGTTTGTTGTGTTGTTCGAAGAACACTTTAGGAGAGAAATAAGATGAAAATTAATGAAATCGTTTATGTAGGAATCACCTCATTCTAGCAGTGAAGATGTGTAACGACTAACAAATATTATCAACTACCATCTCTCCATAGAATTATAACTATATTTGCTGGCATAGTGACACAAGTCATAGCCCTCGAGTTTAATTATTATTTAACACCAAACGAGCCCAGATTATAACTGTTGGCAACAATTGTTCTTCTATTTCAAAATCAAAATATTTCAATTCCAAAACCATAAACAAAAGACAAACAAACTGGCTAAAGACCAGTGTGGTAGTCCCAGGCTAAAGACCAGTATGGTAGTCCCTGGCTAAAGACCAGTATGGTAGTCCCTGGCTAAAGACCAGTGTGGTAATCCCTGGCTAAAGACCAGTGTGGTAGTCCCAGGCTAAAGACCAGTATGGTAATCCCTGGCTAAAGACCAGTATGGTAGTCCCAGGCTAAAGACCAGTATGGTAATCCCTGGCTAAAGACCAGTGTGGTAGTCCCTGGCTAAAGACCAGTGTGGTAGTCCCAGGCTAAAGACCAGTATGGTAGTCCCAGGCTAAAGACCAGTATGGTAGTCCCTGGCTAAAGACCAGTATGGTAGTCCCTGGCTAAAGACCAGTGTGGTAGTCCCAGGCTAAAGACCAGTGTGGTAGTCCCAGGCTAAAGACCAGTATGGTAGTCCCTGGCTAAAGACCAGTATGGTAGTCCCTGGCTAAAGACCAGTGTGGTAGTCCCTGGCTAAAGACCAGTGTGGTAGTCCCAGGCTAAAGACCAGTGTGGTAGTCCCTGGCTAAAGACCAGTGTGGTAGTCCCTGGCTAAAGACCAGTATGGTAGTCCCTGGCTAAAGACCAGTATGGTAGTCCCTGGCTAAAGACCAGTATGGTAGTCCCTGGCTAAAGACCAGTGTGGTAGTCCCTGGCTAAAGGCCAGTGTGGTAGTCCCTGGCTAAAGACCAGTGTGGTAGTCCCTGGCTAAAGGCCAGTGTGGTAGTCCCTGGCTAAAGACCAGTGTGGTAGTCCCTGGCTAAAGACCAGTATGGTAGTCCCAGGCTAAAGACCAGTCTGGTAGTCCCAGGCTAAAGACCAGTCTGGTAGTCCCAGGCTAAAGACCAGTCTGGTAGTCCCAGGCTAAAGACCAGTGTGGTAGTCCCTGGCTAAAGACCAGTGTGGTAGTCCCAGGCTAAAGACCAGTCTGGTAGTCCCTGGCTAAAGACCAGTGTGGTAGTCCCAGGCTAAAGACCAGTCTGGTAGTCCCAGGCTAAAGACTGACAAACTACTCACAGCACTAACAAGATGAAACCACTTCAACCAGCAACCAATAAAAGCCTGATTTACGTAAAGACCATTTGACTACTTGTATGCGTATTTCCTAACTCAGGCAACCCAACATCACCAATCTCGAGAAATGGTTTAAGATTTATAGTAATTCATTGTGTCGGGGGACAGGCAGCCAGTTTATATATACAGTACATGTTAAGCTATGGGAAGACAGACCTCTAAGCTAGGTAACAAGATGAGATATGGGAAAGAAAAGTTCTAAGCCAGCTAACAAGATATGGGAAAGGAAAGTTCTAAGCCAGCTAACAAGATGAGATGTGGGAAAGGAAAGTTCTAAGCCAGCTAACAAGGTGAGATGTGGAAAAGGAAAGTTCTAAGCCAGCTACAAGATGAGATGTGGGAAAGGAAAGTTCTAAGCCAGCTACAAGATGAGATGTGGGAAAGGAAAGTTCTAAGCCAGCTACAAGATGAGATGTGGGAAAGGAAAGTTCTAAGCCAGCTAACAAGACTGACAAGTGGTGGTGAGCAGAAGGGGGGGAGGTGGATGGTAAAGACCCACCTGGAACAGCTGAAGCCACAGGATAAGGAGTGACCCCCGCCAGAGCAGAGGTCTGTGCCTGCCACCCGCCGCCATCTTGTTGGGCTGCCGCGCTGCCCACCACAAACTGCGTTCTCTTATTTCTCTTGAGTAGTTGTAGTGCTCTGCATCTCCCAGGAAACGTCTCCTTTCCATGAAAAGAAAATTTTGTTGTTAAAATTAATCGCGAAAAAGCTCTCATTAATAAAATTAAAATTTTATTTATTTAAATTTCTATATTATAAATTCAGTACCTTGTATTCAACCTCCTGCTCCCTTCGCCTAATTTCATTACTTTACACTTACCAGAGTTAAACTTTAGTAGCCATGTTCTAGACCATTCCTCCAGTTTTGTCCAGGTCGTCCTGTAGTCTCTGTCTATTTTTATGTCTTGGTTCTTCTCATAATTTTTGCATCATCAGCAAACATTGAGAAGAATGATTCTATACCCTCTGGATGATCTTTATATATATGTCAGAAACAGGATGGGTCCAAGTACAGAGCCCTGTGGAACTCCACTGGTGACATCTCGCCACTCTGATGCCCCCCCCTCCCTTCACAGTTACTAGATGTTTCCTGTTGCTTAGATACTCCCTTATCCACTGGAGCACCTTACCTTTTACTCCAACTTTAGTAAGAGCCTCTTATGGGGTACTGTGCCATAGACTTTCTGATAGTTTAAGGAAATGCAGTCTGTCCGCCCTTCTCTTTCTTGCCTAATTTTTGTCGCCTCGTCATAGAATTCTATTATGCCTGTGAGGCACGATTTACCATCTCTGAACCCTGCTGGTGGAGTTACAAAGCTCTTTCTCTCTTCTCTCTTTTCTCAGTGCGTGTGTGTGTGTGTGTACTCACCTATTTGTGCTTGCGGGGGTTGAGCTTTGGCTCTTTGGTCCCGCCTCTCAACTGTCAATCAACTGGTGTACAGGTTCCTGAGCCTACTGGGCTCTATCATATCTACATTTAAAACTGTGTATGGAGTCAGCCTCCACCACATCACTGCCTAATGCATTCCATCCGTTAACTACTCTGACACTGAAATAGTTCCTTCTAACGTCCCTGTGGCTCATGTGGGTACTCAGTTTCCACCTGTGTCTCCTTGTTCGCGTCCCGCCAGTGTTGAATAGTTTATCCTTGTTTACCCGGTCGATTCCCCTGAGGATTTTGTAGGTTGTGATCATGTCTCCCCTTACTCTTCTGTCTTCCAGCGTCGTAAGGTGCATTTCTCGTAGCCTTTCCTCGTAACTCACGCCTCTTAGTTTTGGGACTAGTCTAGTGGCTAGTCTAGTGGCATACCTTTGGACTTTTTCCAGCTTCGTCTTGTGCTTGACAAGGTACGGGCTCCATGCTGGGGTCGCATACTCCAGGATTGGTCTTACATATGTGCTGTACAAGATTCTGAATGATTCCTTACACAGATTCCTGATCGCTGTTCTGATGTTAGCCAGCCTCGCATATGCCGCAGACGTTATTCTTTTTATGTGGGCTTCAGGAGACAGGTTTGGTGTGATATCAACACCTAGATCTTTTTCTCTGTCTGTTTCATTAAGTACTTCATCTCCTATTCTGTATCCTGTGTCTGCCTCCTGTTTCCACTGCCTAGTTTCATTACTTTGCATTTACTCGAGTTGAGCTTCAACAGCCATTTGTTGGACCATTCACTCAGTCTGTCTAGGTCATCTTGTAGCCTCCTCCTATCATCCTCTGTTTCAATCCTCCTCATAATTTTTGCATCATCGGCAAACATTGAGAGAAACGAATCTATACCCTCTGGGAGATCATTTACATATACCAGAAACAGTATAGGTCCAAGGACTGACCCCTGCGGGACTCCACTTGTAACGTCTCGCCAATCTGAGACCTCACCCCTCACACAGACTCGTTGTCTCCTGTTGCTTAGGTACTCCTTTATCCAATGGAGTACCTTCCCTTTCACTCCAGGCTGCATCTCCAGCTTTTTCACTAGCCTGTTGTGTGGTACTGTATAAAAGGCTTTCTGACAATCCAAAAATATGCAGTCTGCCCACCCTTCTCTTTCTTGCCTTATTTTTGTTGCCTGGTCGTAGAATTCAAGTAACCCAGTGAGACAGGACCTGCCATCCCTGAACTGATGCTGCACAGTTGATGCTGTGTTACAAAGTTCTTTTGCTCCAGATGCTCCACTAGCTTTCTTTGCACAATCTTCTCCATCAGCTTGCATGGTATGCAGGTTAGGAAAACTGGCCTGTAGTTCAGTGCCTCCTGTCTATCCCCTTTCTTGTATATCGGGACTACGTTAGCTGCTTTCCAAATATCTGGCAGTTCCCCTGTTGCCAGTGATTTGTTATACACTATGGAGAGTGGTAGGCACAGTTCTTTTGCTCCTTCCTTTAGTATCCAAGGGAAGATTCCATCTGGGCCTATAGCCTTTGTCACATCCAACTCTAGTAAACACTTCCTTACTTCCCCGCTGGTAATCTCAAAGTCTTCCAGTGGTTCCTGGTTAGCTATTCCTTCTCTTATCTCTGGAATTTCTCCTTGCTTTAAGGTGAAGACCTCCTGGAATTTCTTATTCAGTTCCTCACACACTTCCTTGTCGTTTGTAGTGAATCCTTCTGCCCCTATCCTTAATTTCATAACCTGTTCCTTTACTGTTGTTTTTCTCCTGATATGGCTATGCAGCAATTTAGGCTGAGTCTTTGCCTTGCTTGCGATGTCATTTTCGTATTGTCTTTCTGCCTCTCTTCTCATCCTGACATATTTATTCCTGGCATTCTGGTATCTTTCTCTGCTCTCCAGTATCCCGTTATTCCTATAGTTTCTCCATGCCCTTTTACTTTGCTGCTTAGCTAGCCTACTTCTCTGATTAAACCATGGGTTTCTCACCTTCATTTCACTGTTTTCCTTTTGGACTGGGACAAACTTGTTTGCTGTGTCCTTGCACTTCTGCGTGATGTAGTCCATCATATCTTGGGCCGTCTTTCCCCTGAGCTCTGTTTTCCATGCTATATCTGTTAGGAATTTTCTTATCCTCTCATAGTTTCCCTTTCGGTATGCTAACCTTTTGGTTTCGGTATCCCTCCTCGAGTTCAATAACCCTTCTTCAATCAGGTACTCAAACACCAGTACACTGTGGTCGCTCATTCCTACTGGGTCCTCAAACCCGATTTCTCTTATGTCGGAGTCGTTCAGAGTAAAGACTAGGTCGAGGCTCGCTGGTTCGTCATTTCCTCTCATCCTTGTGGGTTCTCTGACATGCTGGGTTAAAAAGTTTTTAGTCACTACCTCCAATAGTTTGGCTCTCCACGTATCCTCGCCTCCATGCGGTTCCTTGTTCTCCCAGTCACTCGTTCCGTGATTGAAGTCCCCCATGATGAGCAGGTGGGATCTATTTCTACAGGCAGCAGAGGCTGCCCTCTCAATTATAGTGTTAACTGCCATGTTGTTGTTTTCATACTCTTGACTGGGTCTTCTGTCATTTGGTGGAGGGTTGTATATTACTGCTACTACTATTCTTGGTCCTCCCATTGTCATGGTGCCTGCTATGTAGTCTCTGAACCCCTCACAGTCCGGGATAGCCATCTCCTTAAAACTCCATTCCTTTCTCATGAGTAGGGCCACTCCGCCTCCTCCCCTACCTTCCCTCTCTTTCCTTATTACTGTGTACTCCTGGGGAAACACGGCATTCGTTATGATTCCTGAGAGTTTTGTTTCAGTGAGTCCGATTACATCTGGGTTCACTTCTTGTGCTCTTTCCCTTAGTTCACTTGTCTTGTTTGTGATCCCATCTGTGTTCGAGTACATCACCCTGAAACTGACTCTCTTCTGCTTGTGTGTGTGTGTGTGTGTGTGTGTGTGTGTGTGTGTGTGTGTGTGTGTGTGTGTGTGTGTGTGTGTTCCTCCCTTACTGAAGGAACCCGTACTCGGCCTACGCTCGTCCAAGCTACTTTGGCCCCAACAACACATTCCTAAATTTACACGTAGTGCATAACTTAAACTTTTGTCTAGTATATTTTAATATTAATTCAATTTATATTATAATTTTGTGTATAGTTAGGTCTAGCATAGGTTAGCTTTGGTGTTTTTGGTTCTGTTGACAATTATGTGTATTTGCAGTGTGTGTGAAGCATTAGAGTGGTGCGATTTGAACACAGGAAAACAACAAAGTATTGTAGAGAAAAAGTGTTAATCTAATCAGTTTTGCGTCAAGTGTAATTTTTGTTCCATTATTCAGAGTTTGACACGCACTACAACACTGGCCACAGCTCGACACAACACCGGCCACAGTTCGACACAACACCGGCCACAGCTCGACACAACACCGGCCACAGCTCGACACAACACCGGCCACAGCTCGACACAACACCGGCCACAGCTCGACACAACACTGGCCAGAGCTCGACACAACACTGGCCAGAGCTCGACACAACACTGGCCAGAGCTCGACACAACACTGGCCAGAGCTCGACACAACACTGGCCAGAGCTCGACACAACACTGGCCACAGCTCGACACAAAACCGGCCACAGCTCGACACAACACCGGCCAGAGCTCGACACAACACTGGCCAGAGCTCGACACAACACTGGCCAGAGCTCGACACAACACTGGCCAGAGCTCGACACAACACCGGCCACAGCTCGACACAACACTGGCCACAGCTCGACACAACACTGGCCACAGCTGAACACAACACTGGCCACAGCTCAACATAACACTGGCCACAGCTCAACATAACACTGGCCACAACTCGACACAACACTGGCCAGAGCTCGACACAACACTGGCCAGAGCTCGACACAACACTGGCCACAGCTCGACACAAAACCGGCCACAGCTCGACACAACACCGGCCAGAGCTCGACACAACACTGGCCAGAGCTCGACACAACACTGGCCAGAGCTCGACACAACACTGGCCAGAGCTCGACACAACACCGGCCACAGCTCGACACAACACTGGCCACAGCTCGACACAACACTGGCCACAGCTGAACACAACAGTGGCCACAGCTCAACATAACACTGGCCACAGCTCAACATAACACTGGCCACAACTCGACACAACACTGGCCAGAGCTCGACACAACACTGGCCAGAGCTCGACACAACACTGGCCAGAGCTCGACACAACACCGGCCACAGCTCGACACAACACCGGCCACAGCT